TTCTAAAGATTTTACTAACGCAAGTCCCACACCGAGAAGATGAAATACAGGAGCAAGCCAAGGAACAAGCCAAGCGCTGCATTTTCATAACCAAAAGCTTATAAACTGGACATCTGCAATCCATTTAAAAAAGAAAATAAAAAGCTCAAATAACATTATATTGGGCTGGATTTTTTTAAACTCAAATTATAGCTCAGTCAACAGTTTAAGCGACAGTATAAAACGGGATAAATCTAGCTAATGTTAGTGCTGTACAAGTCTGTCACTAGGTTAGTTAGCGTTAGCTAATGTTAACGTTAACCTTGCGCCTGCCAAATAACGTTTTGACCTTACCTTGATATCTGGGAGCATTTGCCGCACTTTGAATGTGGTTTTGGATCCTGTCAACATTATTGACTACAGGTCAGCTCGACTTAAATAGAAAAATACGACGGAAATAAAGCTGACTTAATGAAAATTTTAATAAGTCTGTTATTAATTTATAAGCTAACGGTCGCTGGGTTAACGTTAGTGTTCTCCTCTTTCCATTTTTAGCCGTAGAAAATCCGTCAGAAAGAGAAGAAAGGTCCGGAGTCCTGTAACGGTTAGCCTGTCTCACCGGCTGCTACAGCTGAGGTGTTCAGTGTGGACAAGCAAACTATTTTCGCTCTTGTCATCGCTATTCGCACTGAGCATCCGTGTCCCGACCACACAAATAACAAGAGCACACCCCGATGAAGCAGCCACTGAAATATCTTTTACTGGTGTTAGTCACAAACGGAGAGATGTGTTCACCGTTACTGCTCCTTTTCCGAATCATTGCGCTGTGTTTGTTTATTCCTTCGCCATAGTGAAACACACACTGTTGATGGGGGGAAAGCTAAGCAGTCGAGCTTCTTAAAGGGCCAGTACACCTTGACCACGAAAAAGCTGGCGAGTCCCAAACTCTCAGTGAAATTTCTTTATTTTACGCACTAGAAGCTGAGCACAGACACAGAAAGTATTAAGAGGTCAGTTTCCAACGCTTTCACTAAACCCCTCGAACTCACCATTAATCAACAATGACATTTTACACAGCGGTGGAAGAAGTTACACAATAACACAAACAAAAAGCACGAGTAAAGTACCATTAGCAACATATCACCTACACTATAGAAACTAAAGGTACTCCTTGTGTTGTGTTATATATTTAAGTATAGCACTGGTCGTGGGAATTGTATGTTGGCTATACTGCTTGCCTTGCAAATTTTAATTTAACAGCTCTAGTATACCTAGTTTATATTTTTTATTTCATATATTTCTAATTCTTTATTTGGGTCTATTTATCTGTACTCATGACTGTCCTTGTGTTGTTGCCACACCCGAAAGTGTCCTCTGGGGATCATTAAAGGCTTATCTTTTCTTATTTTATGTTATTGGATTGTTAATACTAATGCATCAATAGTTTATCAGGTAGTTTAATCTGTAAAAATATGCATAATATTTTAAAAATCCATCATATGTCTGGTATATAACAGACATATGACATCCAATTTCTCCAATTAGGAACAAGTTATCAATCACTTGATTCATTCTGCATATGACCAGTTTAGTCATTAGTCCTGGAAGGTAAGCTAGTGCTTGGCTAGAGTCTGTAGTTGTAACAACAATGAAAATGTTTAGTTGTATTTATGTTTTCTTTGAATTTCTATATGCAGTCCCCTCCAAAAGTACTGGAACGGGAAGGCAAATTCCTTTGTTTTTGTTGTTCACTGACGACATTTTGGTTTAAGATCAAAAGATGAGTATGAGACAAGAGTTCAGAATTTCAGCTCTCATTTCCTGGTATTCACATCTAGATGTGTTAAACAACTCAGGACATATCACCCTTTGTTTGAACTCACCCATTTGTCAAGTGATCAAAACTATTGGAACATGTGACTGACAGATGTTTCTTGTTGCCCAGGTGTTGCCTCTTAGGTTGATTGTCCAAACATTAAATAGCTCTGCATGACTAGGCTAAGTTTTCATCCTTGGTTCAAACCTATAAAGACTGCATTTCCTGTTAAAGAGGATAAACCAACATGACGACAAGAGAGCTGTCTATGGGAGAAAAGCAAGCCATTGTCAAGCTGAGAAAAGAAGGAACATCGACCAGAGCCATTGGACAAACATTGGGCATAGCAAGCACAACAATGTGTGCTGAATGTCCTGAAAAAGAAAGAAACCACTGGTGTACTGAGCAACAGACGTCCAACAGGTCGGCCAAGGAAAACAACAGTAGTTGATGACAGAAATATCGTGAGAGCTGTGAAGAAAACCCCCAAAACATCAGTAAGTAACATCACCAACGACCTCCACAGTGCAGGGGTGAAGGTATCACAATCCACTGTTGGAAGAAGACTCAGAGAGCAGAAATATAGAGGCCACACCACAAGATGCAAACCATTCATCAGCAGGAAGAATCGCAAGGCCAGACTGAAATTTGCAAAGAAGTACAGAGATGAGCTGCAAAAGTTCTGGAACACAATCTTATGGACTGATGAGACCAAGATTAATCTCTACCAAAGTGATGGAAAGGCCAAAGTGTGGAGAAAGAAAGGAACCGCTTATGATCCGAAGCATACAAGCTCATCTGTGAAGCATGGTGGAGGTAATGTCATGGCTTGGGCGTGCATGGCTGCTTCTGGAACAGGCTCATTAATATTTATTGATGATGTAACTGATGATGGTAGCAGCAGAATGAATTCAGAAGTGGACAGAAACATTTTGTCTGCCAATTTACGGAGAAATGCATTGAAACTAATCTGGAGGAAGTTTATCATGCAGCAGGACAATGACCCAAAGGCAGGCTTGAAGCAGTTATTGCAAGCAAGGGTTATGCAACCAAATACTAAATGTTATTTATTTTAAGATTAGTTGTTCCATTACTTTTGCTCACCTAAGAATGCTGTGGTCTAATACAAAGGGAGATATGTCCTAAGTTGTTTAACACATCTAGATGTGAATACCAGGAAATGAGAGCTGAAATTCTGAACTCTTGTTTCATACTCATCTTTTGATCTTAAACCCAAATGTCTTCAGTGAACAACAAAAACAAAGGAAGTTGCCTTACTGTTCCAATACTTCTGGAGGAGACTGTATGTCTGACATACAGTAATATTTAATTGTTTTATAATTATGTTCAAATGTTAGTGTAAGACCTGTAGGCTTCTCTGTGGGCCCATGAAGCCTTCACTCCAGGAGAGCCATATGTCTATCACCACTGTGACGATGCAAGACAAACAAGCACAAACACACACAATAATATTCAGTTGGTGCACATTTGTACATTTTGTTAAACTGTATTATATATGTACTATGTTCACTACTATCATGTCACTACAATGACTGACTGTAAATGTGTAAGATACACACACAGTTGCACCATTTAATAGTAGACACATGTAACCAGTTAGTATCACATTTTGAATGCACTGGTTTAAATAAGCTCACAGATACAGACAGAAATGTCAAATGTTACAACCATCCCCGGTTTCTCGTACCTCAGGACTGTATTGTAATGTATGTGCATCATGATGTCCGAGTTTGTCTACCTATCATATGGTAGGTGCCTGACCTGTTTGATTTTGAAAGACATCTTTATGCATACAGTTAGATGAATGAAAGACTCACTTTTGCTTTTGTGCTCTGGCTTTGTATTTAGGCAACTCATTGTTGAGGGTTTAATTTGAAGCAGTAGCTGAGCCAGTAAGCCAACTTCCATAAAACCATTCAACTCTTGCCCTTCTGGTGTTTCAAGGCCGCAAAACAAAACAAAAACAAAATAATCCTGTTAATTTACCAGCTAAAGCCTCTTTTTGGTCAGCAGTACCTTTTTCCGATCCTGTAGCTGGTCTGATCGGGGACTGGCTCCTCTCTGCTCTCATCCAAACTTGTGCAAAGAAACCACCAACTCTCTTTCAGAGAAATACCGAAAGCCAATTCAGAACAAATTCCTTTTCAGCGAGAACAGAGAAACTTTGAATAATCCTGAGCGACAATCTGTCCTGCTGGACAGGTGGGGAGATGGTGTCCTTGTGAACTATAATAGAGAGAGGTCTGGATTTTTTACCACATGGGAAACTGTTCAATATTACATAAGGGGCTCCGATTTCTCTAATACATAAAACAGTCCCAGACACAGGACCTTGCATCATCTGAGCTGGAGATATTCAACGATGTATAATGCAACAAAGTTAGGGTAATACAGGATGATGCAGACAACAAATTCACAATACCTCTTTATTTTCATTTGTTTCTATTTCACTGAAATGTTTCCAGTTTTCTTATGTCTGCAGCTCTACTTTAATAAGAATGGTGACAATAAACTTATTTAGGTAGTTTTCCCTTGCCCTACACAGGGACATAAGAACTATAGAACAGTAACACTGCAGTTGACTTTGTCCAGTTAGACGAAAGTCTCACACCACTGCCTTAAAACCTTAAACAAGCTGACTTTAAGAATTGGCTTCAGATATAAAGCAAATGTAGTCAATTCCAAGTAGGGCTGCGACTAATGATTGTTGTAATTTTTGAATTATCTGTCAATAATATTTGCATGGTCTATTAAATATTATATGTATTATACTATTATAATAACGTGTTTTAATTGCTCATTTTATCCGACCAACTGTTCAAAATCCAAGATATTCAGTTTACCATCCCATATGACAATTAAATGCAGCAAATTTTCACAATTGAGACCAGGGAATGTTTGGCATATTTGTTGAAAATGTATTAACTAGTAATTTTTTAATATAATTGTCGATTATGTTTCTGTCATCTGACAAATTGTTGCAGCTTTAATTCCAACCTATTTCAGCCTAGTACTGAGACTTAATGTATGGTATAAATTTAAAATGTGTAAACCGTCTGTATGTCATTACATGTTTAGACAGTCAATTATATTTTCATGGAATAAATCCCATATTGGTGACCATGTGGTTTTAGCTTAAAGTAAGTTTTTTTCATATTAAACAGAAAAGAGAGGAAGCATAGCATTCTTGAAATACAATGAGAATTTATTCAAACGGTGCAAAAAAATTAATAATTATAATAATAATAATAACAACCTAACATAAAATCTGATGTTCTTTCTATCCAGATTGCACTGTCACACAGCCTTAGGACTCTCCTCTCAAAAAAACATTAAAACAATAAAAGAAATAAAAACAAATCAAAATACCAGGACAACTGAAATCAAGTTAAAATAATGCACAAATTTGGTAAAATGGATTGCCATTTACATGCAACAGTTCCAGTCCCATGCAACTCGAAGTATTCCATGTTAATGTCACTGATGATGAATATTCTGTTCACACAGAAGTTACAGTGTTGTACAATATATAAAAATATATAGGGTCAGCTGTGTCGCGAAACTAATTCTGAGCCATTTCTCTTCTTGTTTGGAGGAAATAAGCTGGGTCAACAAGAACATTACTGTCATGTTTTAGCATAGCACGGATTGGTGGTTGTAGAAAAAAGTAAACAAAATGTACAAATCAAAAAAGCAACAAACAAATAAAAAGCCAGACTGCAAGACAATTAGCCATGTGAGAAAGAACATCCTAAAATGTCGCAACTAAACATTCCACAAGGAAACCTATTAAAAAATCTCACTATAAATATATATTCTCAAATGGTATTTGTTAGGTCAGCATTGAGGAAATAAGTTTGCAATGAGAGACCCTCGAGTGTCAAGAGGCCCGTCTGAGAGTGACCTTCAACTGCCAAAATGTCACTTTTTGGTAAACATAAATTCTACCCCAAATCCAGGCTCTTACAAGCTTATCATCATTACCGGTTTTAATATCCAACAATATACATTCTTACCCTTTTAAAAACACTGTAAAACTTTGGGCTTACAAAAATAACTCGAAACATATTTATACAACCTCTGACTGTTTTTTTCTTAAATACAAAAAAGTGTTTGTAGCCTGTAACATCTGATGTTGTACATGTTTCTGAGGGCTTCCGTTTCATTGCAAAAATAACAATAAAGTGGTTTTGTAAGCAAATTATTACTTTGGAGGGCGGGAGAGAGTATGCACACATACACATTTTTAAAAACAAACACCACCTTCCCAAAGTAAGGGAACACTTCAAGGGTCTTGTCTGAATTAAAATGCCAGTGCATGGACACACGTCAACACACATAAACACAGCAAATGCAAATGTTTTTTTGGGAAATAGCTGGATTTAAGTGTTTTATTGTCATTAAAACTCTAGTGTTACATTAAATCCACAGCAAAAAGACTCCCTTCTTCCTTGACCAGCTTTTGCAATATAGACAATATTGTAATATAGTGTTACATAGTGTTAAATTAGCATTAATGAAAAGTATTCCCCAATATTTTGGTAATTTTTGTTTGTAGTTTGAGTGTGGGTCAGGGGGGTAAGCTCCAAACACTGAGTTAAAAACAAAACAAGAGTGCCCTCAACAGGGCAAGGCAGTGAATTGCATACTAAATTGTGCTTTTCTAGACTTAATGCCAAAGAACAGATTTGACTAACAACAGTAGGGCAACTAGAGTCACACTGCCTTAAAGGAAATTGCTCACCATGACTTATCACAGTGGAAATAATAACAAATTTAAGTAGTCATTTTGACATTAGTACAAATTAAACAGCCTTGGGTTTGAAATTATAATAATGAAAACTCAAAAAGTACATCAAGCTGTATCAACTAGTTGATATGCCTAACTAAGAAGAATAATGGCAATATTCCAATCGCTTCCATACAACTGAAACATAATACTTTGTGAAATTTTGGGGCAGTAGTAGTAGAAACTGCAGGCCATGAAGCAAGCAGTGGATACTTGGATGTTCATCTTGCACAACATACAAACTGGACTGTGATGCCACGAGAACAAAATGCTGAAAAAGGCAACTAGGAAACTGAGTTAGACGGTGACACTGGCACCAAAATGCTGTAGCTCTACAGTAACTGAATCCTTTAGAGAAACCCTTCTGACCTGTGCCCCTGACTTCCCATGAACAGAGGTGGCAGTTTCTGCAGAGATGAACAAAGGACAACAGTCAGGCCACTTCAAAAACAGTAAAAAGTTTTGTATCTACGGACATCAGGAAAGTGCTTGAATTTGTGCAAAAAGAGGTAACGCAACTGGATTTGGCGGGACGAATGCCAGAAATTAAGAAACCGCCTTCAGTAGTGGGCGACCAAACCAATAACTATTAGGATGTCCTATTTGTAAGGACTCCATGAACGTATGACTTTGAAGTTAACCTTTTGTGTGATCATGAGATTGTATTAAACATTTTTCACATTTCTTAACCATATGAGCATGTTCACTTGTTACAAGAATTTGTCAATACAATGTCAGTGTTATTAGGTATCAACATCCAGCAAAAGTGCATGCGTCACATTGTATCAGGCAAACAGACTCTGGAGACAACGGTTACAACTGCAGAAATCCTCAATGCTTTAGGGTGAGTTTATGTCATATGTTTAATAGCAAATCAGCTCATTTACTTGTCTGAAATCCACAAATGTGTTTAGTAACATTTCAATAACATACACAACATGTTATGCACATGACGGGTGTCTCCAAAATCTGTTGTGCTGGATGTGACATTTTGACTTTGTAGTATGAAGTATTGCATGCCTAGGTTGGTCACAATAATTAAATACCTCAATGCCAACCATTGTTACAGAAAGAGGAAGACCCAACTAAGACAGAGAAACAACCAAATATATGAAACACTCTGGATCAGGCTCTAGAAACACCATCTTAACATAGTGTTGTTTTTGTTCTACAAGGTCTGGTCAATAATGTGACCAAATGCATTTAACCTTCAAAAGTTTGTCATCTTCATAATCCAATTTATAGTTATATGAATTGGACAAAAAAGTGAAATTTTAAGTTATATTTGTTTTGCCAAGAAGATAATACTAACAGTGCAGAGAAGTTGTTTTAAATGCATGAACATTTATGTGTTTGCATTCTCAAACATTAGCACCACAGCAGCCCACAGAACGCTTAATCATTAGCATTGCACGGTAGTTTCAATTTGCATTATGCAAATGGTGACAGACGAAAAAGCAATTCAACAAGGATTCAATCTGCTGTTTCCCGAGGTACAAATGACGCAAGCATCTAATGACAGTAGTGTAAAATCCTTATAACACTGAAATCACCCTTTCCAGATGTGACTTCAAAATGCTCAAACATCCCTTAATTGACCAATCCAAACTTTATCACAGACCACAATTGGAGTAGCGATACCCATGCCTTCTTTGTTTATGCTTGCATCCCTGTGTATGAAGTAGTGTGAGTCTGACTTAGTGTATTTTTGTGCATATACTGTATATGTGTTGATGAGTGTTATGTATGGCGCCTGCCATATACATTCTCTCCACTAGGAGGAGACAGTAGCAAGGCGCTAAACTCTGATAAAGGAGAGCCCGCAGCTCACACACACAAACACACTCATACATAACGCCTGCATAAGAGCCACAGCAAAATTTAACAGAAGTGCAGTCAGTTAATTCTATGGTCTAACATGTGACCCCAGCAGTCAGAAACCACCCTGTGTATTCTGTAGTCGTGTCGACTGCCACTTTCTGAGGTTGTCTAATCAAACAAGAAGTGACACAGCTATAAAACGGAAGGAGCTGGTTGTGCCTTTCTATTGTCCATTTAGAGGCTGATCTGCCCTAGCCATTATTCTATTTACTGAAAAAGGCCACTCGTCAAATTGAAGCCATAGCTAGGTCCATTCAGAACCTGTGGATGGCTGGTTCTGTCTCCCTCTTTTTCAGCTCTTCCCGGTAGCAGTAAGAGCAGTAGTTGCCCGTCTCGGGGTGTCCGTAGTAGGTGCAGCTGGGTGTCCGACAGCGGCTCGACTGCAGGCTGGCCAAACCACCAGCGCTGCCCAGTGAGTAGTGTCTGACTGGAAGTTGCCCACTACGAGAGTCTAGGTTGGAGCGCATGTCCCGGAAACCGTTGGTGTAACTCCCACCAGTGGGTTCAGACCCAGGGTAGTCTGGTGGGTCGAACTCAGGGGGATATGAGGGTGCAAGGCGAGAGGGACTCAGGGAGGTGGGGCCTTGTGAGTTATTGTACTGGGGATGGGAGGGACCCTGTGTTGTGGGGCAGTGCCGGGGAAGGGTGGCGTAAGAGGGGAGGCCGGGGTAGGAGGTTGCCGGAGAGCCGCCAGCTAGCTGGCGCCGAGTATCCATGTAGCTGTGCATATGAAGGTGCTGGGTGAGGGGTGCTGCAGCAGGAGGCTGGTCTATGAAGGAGGCCCGGGGGATGGGCACAACACCAGAGTACATAGAGGGGCTCAAAGGAGAGGACTTGAGTTGGTTGAAAGAAGGTGACGTGTTCTCTGACAGCTCCTCTTTGGCCTCATAAGACCGGTAGGTCAGATCTGTACCACCGACTGTCTCCCTCTTATGTGGCTGGACACCATTGGTGACACCCTTCCTCTCTGCATCACGACGCTGTTGTTCTTGCTCAGCCCGAAACCGATCCTCTGCATCGCTAAGGTAGCGCTGGATCATCTCCTCCTGGAAGGGCTGCCGGTTGCTCGTAGTGAGAAGGCTGGCAAAGATGAATTTCCTCTCACCTTGCATGGCAGCTCGCAGGATGCCCAGGCTGACCTTGACATCAGCGCTGTACTTGTAGGTATCACACTCAGTACTGCTCCCACCGCTGCTGCTCATACTGCTCCCCGTTCCGTTGAGACGCTCGCTACCTGAGGAGGGGGAGCCTTTCCCAGAATCCTCTGAGGCGTGGGCTGAAGGTGAGCCATCCTTGCTGCCCTTCCTCCCCCTAAATGAGCCCTTCTTCTTCTCCCCACCCTCCTGCTTGACACCTCCAGCTCCAGCGTTCTTTCCTGTCATCAGTCCGCCCACGTTTTTCTTCAGCTTGCTGCCCAGGCTCTTGCCAAAACTGCCAAGCTTATTGGCCACAGAGTCTGCCCTCTTCTTGTCTTTATCCTTGTCCTTTTCCTTCTTGGTTTTGTCCTTCCCCATTGTTCCTGTTCCCACCCCTGCTGATCCACTGCTAGAGGAACTAGAGGAGGAGGAGGAGCTGTTCTTGGCCAAGGACCCGCCTCCATTGACCGCTGATCCTGTGGTTGTGTCTCCATTGCCATTGGAGCTGCTGCTGACTGACTCCTTGTCTGACTCTCCTGAGTCAGGAGGCGTGCGGGCATCCTCTCCTGCCGATGCTGTTGGAGACTCGGGCTGGGCCAGAGGGGCTTGCTGCAAGGAAACAAAGCAGAAACACAAACTAGTGAAAACAAACTATGGAAACATGTACTTCAGGCCCCAATTAGTTACAAATCAAATTACAATGAAAAAGAAAATTCACAAGAAATGGGAAAAAAGCAGAATAACATTCTGGAAAACAATACAGGCACATGGCTGAAGAAAAATCCCCACAAGATATAAAAGATGTGAAAAGAGTGATTCATAGAGCTATTTTTTGTAGAGCAACGCAGAAAAACAAATGATTCAGTTTCCAAATGTCTTTTTAAATCTACAAACATGTTAAAGAAGCAGAAAAATAAAGATGGCTGTATTTGAAAATGGTATGACCCACACGATGACGCAGTATTCTAATCTCAAACAAGAAGCAGTTACAGAATGCCCCATTTCTCAGCAATAATAACCAACACACAGCTATCCTCTTGTAGCACTGCTAAACAGAACAATCCCCTTAAATTATATATTAATACAGGGATTCCTGTATTGCCACCAGTCCCTGCAGATTAACCATGAAATTGCTATGAACTTGTCCTCCCAAGCTCCCTGATGATAGCATGTGGCACACAAGAGGACCTTTGTCAGTGTTTGCATGATGTGACCTGAATGGCCCAGTGTAGTTTGTATTCACATACACTGGTCTGAAAAGGAAATAAAATTGCCCCTATTTATAATAAGTGTGGGAAATTAATACTAACCACAAGCAACTGTAATACATTAAGTCTACAAATCGCTTAGGCATCTGTCTGGAAATCACTTTACAAGTTATGGTTTCTTTTTCATTCCAAAGTTCAATTTGGCTTGAAAAATACTGAATGAGTCCTCAACCAGCCTTCATGACTCACGATGGATGTGTGGACTTTCATCTTTACCTCACAGGGCAGGGGCAGCCAGGTGACCGTCATGTAAGTGTGTAACATCTGGAGCTTTGCCTCCAAAGAGAGAGCCACACTGGGAGAAGAAGGAGAGAGAGAAACATATCAAACCTCAGCAAGAGTAGTCCAAGACTGGAGCTTGTTGTAAATTGTTGCTTGGGTAGTTGATATTATTTTATGTTAAAATGTAATAATATTCTTGCTGTAAGATGGTACTTAACAGTCATAAGCTGGAGACTAAACCATGATACCAGAGGTAAATGTGCAACCACAGAAAACAGATCCAAATGAATATGGATAACAACATACTGTAATCGCATATACAACACAGAGGTTTATTCTGTTACACTAATACACTGTTCACTGGGATAATGGTAAAGGTCGCTAACCTAGTATACCATATAATGTTGGTCCTCTTCTTCAGTGGAGACCGATAAGATGACTGAATTGAGATTTACGTGCTGCTGCTTAACAACAAGTGATAATTTTGCTCTAAATGGTACAGTAAATAGCAAAACCATTTTGCTGTTATGCATTCTTGTTCTGCACTAGCCTTTTAACTCAATGACCTTTTCCAAACAGTTACCAGCCATCATGTAATTTTATCTCTGCCCACCATTTCATTGGAATAAGACATCCACAGTGTCATCATCTGACGTAAATAAGGCGGGGGGGTTATTTTTACTGAGCTGCTATTTCGGTGCTCCTTCCCCTGGTCCTTTCATAGAAGGTATTTAGAGCTAATCTTATTGTCACTGGCACTGAGTGTCGCTAATCTGGAGTCAGGGGTCAATCCCTACACACTGACACTCTGTCCTAAAGGGACAGCAGCTGTCTTTAATGACATGCAAGTGAACATGTGCCACTCTTAGTTTTGTTTTGTCATTGGTAAAAGGCACCTGCTTTTGACCTGATGAACACAACTGGATGTAAATGCGTAAGTGTTTAGAAGGAGATCATACCTTGCCAGCATCACGTTGTCTGTGTCATCCTTGCCCCACTCCCATTCTTTCCCAGGGTCCACAGCAAAGTGCAGAGGCAGCATTTTGTGCTCTGAGTCAGTGAGAGGGATCACAACTGCTGGTAGAGATGGAGGGAAAAAATATTCTTAGAAAAATGATAAAACATTTTAATCCAGAACTCTGGATTGTCTGCAGACAGAAATACTTCTGAGTGCAATGAATTATTTCACTTTCTATTTTAACATCTCGGCTGCTGGGTCTGACCCAATATTGTTTTTGGATGGCCCAATCTGATATTTTTAGACTGGCAAACAATTCACTGTCTGGGCAATGTCTAGAATTTCAAGGAAAACTTATAATTTGTGCACACACACTTCCACTTGCTAGCTTCCTTGGTGTTGAGCTACAGAAGTGACAAATGTATGCAAAAGCCCAACAGCCATTAGTCACCATTCTTAAATAAACCACTACGGTCAATATTAAAAAAAAACTGACCCATCAAGCAACGGCACCAAGCTGTAAAGTGAGAAATTGGGCACTAGTGTTATGCATTTTATTGCAAATTATTTGAGTTTTGTTTTTCAGCAACTGTGCCTTATGTGCTGGGGGTTGTAGCTTTAAAATGTCAACAGCTTAACAGGAGGCTGCTAGAAAAAAAAAAACAATCAGTATTTAGATGTTGCAGTGCATTACCTTGCTCTTTAGAGCTGTCCTTCTGCTCCATGGAGACCAGGGCAGAAAAGTGCGCCTGATCGTATGCCAGCACCAGGGGCGAGCGATGGCACTTGGCAGCTGGCACTTCCAAGGGCAGGTAGATGCCTCCAAACGGGATGGGAGCAAAGGCTAGGGGAAAGAAACAGGGAAATTGAAACACCTGAAAAGTAAGACTTCAGCACTCTCTCCTGGGAGGATTTGATTTTTCATCTCTAATCCTATATCCAAACCCGACTTTTCAGTCAGTTATGAGTGTTGCATTAATTCCATTGCATCCCTGATGTCATCTCTGATATCAGTACATTGAAGTATCTCAGCAGTAAATTAACAGCTACTACAGTTATCAGTTTATTAAGGTTGTTGCTTCAGTTCCCTCACAGGGCAGAGTGCTGTAGGTTTCTTTTTGTAAAGAAAAACACACATTTGTTTTATGGAACAGAATTGGGTCACAGTATTTGGTTTGTTTTAACCTGCTTGAGATATCAAATAGGGTGTTACTTAATTAGGACAACTCAGGCAAGTCATCAGTCACTAACAGTTAAGTAAAAAAGAGGATGAATTATCTGATGAATGCAATGTGAGGCATTAGGTGTATTACCCTCTCCTCCAGAGTCCCTCAGCATGGTGTCGGCCACCACCACTATGGGCCTTCTGAGGACATGGGCCAAGACAAAGACGTGAAACTCCTCTAAACTCTCATACACTGGTTCATCTGAGGACTCGGCCCTGAGGACAACAACAACGCAGCTTTGGATTAACAGAAACATAATTGTTTATAGTGTTGCAAAATCAGAGAGAATCAAAATTTCAAGCAGGCAGTAAATGTGTTATCTGTCTTATTAATGGATTCCTTATGACTTGTGAAAATGTGAAATGTAGACTTTTGTGAAATGTAGGGCCACAAACACTAAATTCATAAATAAATGAAAGTAACAATATTGAGAGATACTTGCAAAACATTTCAAACCACTTCAGACTTAAGGGTTTGTATTATAGAGCATTGCCATTATGTTTAACCCATTGAAATTATGCTTGCTATAACAAGAAGCCGATTGAAAATGAGGGCCAGCCACTCAGTTCTGATTGTAAGCACAGTTGTTTGTTCATGAATAAAATCATGAGTGTGACTGTGTGTCGAGTTAACAGTCCCTGCATTGTAAGAGCCAGATCTTACCCATTGGTGCCGTTGGTGCTGTAGTGTATTCTCGGCTCACTGGAGGCTAGCTTCAACAGTTCATTCCACTCTTTCTGCCACTCCTCCTCAGTGTACACCAGACCAGACTGAAGAGAAAGAAGGACACACACGCATTTGCCATTTAGAGAGGGAGTGTCAAATGTCACAAAAGCATGCACTGACGTTATGGCGTCTTACCACAAGGTTACATACTGACAACTGAGGAAATAAATTTAACTGGAGCCTTAACAAATCACTGTGTCGTACACAGAGTGACACAGCCCTCATCAACATCATGTTTTAACCTCCATTTATGAAAGGAAACTGCTTATTAATACGTTTTTTCCTCAGAATCAACGTCCCTCTTCAGCTACAGCACATTCAGACAAGAAAGCTTCCCAGTGCATCCATAGCCATCGAATGCTAGCCGTCGTGCAGCTCCACTAGAGCAATGTTGGTTTAAGTGATTTGCTTAAGCACACCTCTGTGGTAGCTGCTGAAGAATGGGTGAACATTAGGCAGTCATTCGTGTGGCATGTCCTCTGTAGGTGTCTGCACGCTGTCTGCAACCACTTTGGAAAACACACTTAGTGTGATGTTATGCCTGCTTTCATGCAGAGAAAAAAAAAAGCCTCTAAAGAGCCACTGTTTGCCTTTGTAGAATGTTTCTAGGGTTTTGATAAAGTGTATCAAGAGTACCAGCACTTATAGATAATATAGTTAAACAGTAGGGTGATGATAACACAATCTTAAACGAATATTATAAATATTATATAAATTAAACGTACGGAATATTAGAAACACCTCTAAATATAATGCAGTCCTGTAAAACACCACCTTTATTAAGACCTCAGTAATAAGCACATAACCGAACAATATCAACAAAAACTTCATAGGAAGTGGAATTTATGCCAGAGCTGTTTAACTGTAATAGATTGTGTGTACCTGATAAAGTGTAAACATGAAACTGTTTCATGTTTACATTTTATAATACAGTCATGGGTAATATGCTAGAGAGGGAGTTTAATGGAATTTCTTCACAGGCCTAATGATCAAAAATATTTACAGCTACAACTATAATATTGTACAAATGCAAATATTACACAATTATTATAGGCATGAAGTAACTGACCTGTATAGGACTGGTACACCAAATCACCAAAGTATTTCCCTATAAGTCTGGGCTATGATTATTATACACATTTACTGAAAGGTTCCAGCAACCCAATGTTGTCCTGCCTGCCTGTCCAGGGGTCGTCTCCTGTTGACACTGTGTTTTGAAAGGGCTGGACTTGCTTGGAAAACAGAAAACAAATCAACAATGGCGAGCTGTGTGCACTTGACATTTCAAATGTTTTATTGCACACGTGCGAGCAGCTGCAAGCACAAATTCATAGGAAGCATGAAAAGGCCTTTTCTTGTCCATTGTCCTTGCCGACTTTTCCCTATTTGGTCAAATGACTAACTACAAACATTCTGATCCCAAGTTCACAAGCCAACTACTTACCCCATATAGTCATCTCAGAGTTTACAAAGCTGACCTAAAGAAATGGGCTGCCTCTATTACAGACCTCTTTGTTCTGCTGGGTCTGCTGCCACCTCCACCTGCGCTTCAGTGCATCTCTCTCCAACCCGTGATCCATTAGCGCATACAGGGACTTCCGTAGCATCAGGTCCCGGTCATGAAAACCCCACATACCTGCAATAGAAAACAAAGCATTTAACACATAAACAAAATCTTATATGTATAATTGCACTTACAAATGATCAAATAAAGAAGAGCAGCAGGCATTTCAGGAGCTTTTTATAGTTTTTTGTGTTGTTATCTCTACAAAATCCTCTTACTGACAGACCAAACAAAATAGATTAACTGTAAACTAACAAATGAAAAGCTGAATTTGTAGCTATTTTTACCTTTTAAAAAGCACAGGTTAAGCACATGAACATTATTAGAGGGGCTTGAACAATGCCTGCACATTAGTTAGAATATTATTCATTTTCAGCACTAGGGTTCCTATGTGGGCCACAAAGGCTGACGTGCACTACAACAATGTAAAATGCAATTAGGGCTTAAACTAACAGAGACGCTCTCTTAATGAATGCAAACGGAGTGCAAATATGCACGGTATTGGGATCTTGTTTGAAAGGTCTGCGATACTCACCAAGCGAAGCTGCGTGTAACAGGCAATTTCCGTCTCCGCTTGTTGCCAGAGGCAGCAGACTCTGACAGTTTGAAACCACTTTTGTCCACCAGTTCAGTCGCCCTGTAGACAAATAGGAAAAACTTAACTCACCTGTTTACAAATAAATTATTTTAGTATTATTACACCTGTGGTATTCCTATTGTGACATGTCAAATTGCCAGTGGGAAATTTTCCTCAAATTAATTTATTCTTGGCTGTACATATATCTATTTGGATGTGATAAACAATATGACTGTGAAATTCTCAATTTTATGTGTTTAAACAGGATTATTTGTTATGTTCTAAAGTTGAAGCTTTCCAATGATGTGATGTTATATGCAATGCACTACATTTGCATTTATGGTTGCATTATTTATGACTGGTTATCATGTAAAAAACAAACAAAAAAAAAACTATTTTTCAAACAGCAAACCCTGCATGCAAATCCGAGAATCTCATATGTGGGTTCGTATTCAGTTCTTCTCACCAGCATGCTCCAAGGCCACCATCATTGACTGCTCAATAAGGTCCCTCTCGATGAAGCCACGGAAGTCATCCCGGTACACCGTGAGGTCTGGTAGTTGAAAAGTGCACAGGGGTGTGTCCAGAAGGGGCTCACTACTGCTACCTCCAGTGCTTGAGACGTGAGAGCGTGCCAGAGACACGATGGTTGAACTGGCGTGGGAAATGCCCCTCGACAGACGCTTTTCTGTAGCTGCTACAAATCAATGGGAGAGGACGTGTAGAAAAAGGTGTTTTATACAGTATATTTTTATATGTTATTCTGTGTAGTGATCTAGTAAATTTGGGACACGTTCAGTAGAAATTTGGGAAAGAAAAGATAGGGGACAATGGTTAGCATAAGCAACTAATGCTGATAATCGTCTGGGCCTCCTTTCAGGTGCTTTGCATTGGTGTGTGTCCTCATTTAACATCACTTACTGAGCCTACCACTTAAAACTGGTGTATACCAGTAAAATTATACTATGCTACATAAAAACATAATTGATGGTGGCCTGACCTTGCACCACCTCATCTTGGCGGTGGAGTATAGGCCTTCCTATCCGTGCCATCTCCTTTTCGGGAGGCAGATAAGTCCTCTCCTCTGCAAACGAATACGCTAGGTTCCCAGCATGCACCTGTCGCAGCTGCTCAAAGTCACTGAGGGCAGCAGTAAAATCCCAGTTCTTGCCTACATAGAGAGAGAGAGAGATAGGAACATCTTCCTGAGCCACCAGGTCCAGCATGACAACCTCAACCTTGTTTCTAGGTCGATCTAAACTCATTAAATCAAATGAAACATCCTTAATGAGTTTAAACATTTACTACAAGTCAATGCAACCATAGAGTGTATTGTGTTATGTAAAGGCCACTGGCACATTCCTTCACTTGGGTAAACATCAGAATTTGGAGCACGTCCGGGCTCGCTGGTTTGCTGCTGTTCACTGCATTACATTACATTTTTAACCCATATTCTTATTTGCAACTTGTGTTGCTGCTAGGCAACAGGAGCCCTGCTGACTCCAGCTATACTTTCCTTCCTTAGTGTATGATAGTCTAATTAACAGTAACAAGCCAAAAGCACTGACTGAGACACCGTCAATTTAGGTGCTGCTCATAACATCACCAGCTGTCAACTGAAGTGAATACATTAATTGAACACATAACGGATTCTACAAATTTGCTCTTAAAGTTGAACTTGGTTTGATTATGAATGACAAGTCTGATTTGATGTTCATCACTTCTCTACTTGCAATTTTGCATTGTGTAGCATGTGCACTGGATAATGTGTCACTAACATTAATATGTCTGTCTAAGACTAGTGGTATAATGAAATACTCTGCAACTCACCCTCCAGCAGGTCTCTGGCCAATCCCGGTTCGGCTCCAGTGGAACGGACAAAGTCGGACAGGACTGCGTCCATATCCACGGTCATGTGATCATGAATTCACACGTTTGTAGGTTGTGTCCGGGCAGAAAATACTAAATAAAAAGAAACACAGACTCTGCTCTCCCTGGCAGGACAGCAAGGGAAGGGGTGGGGGGTGGAGGGTCCAGTCCACTACTCTACCAGCCACACCTGAAAAGAGAACACAGATATAACAAGATTAAACATGCACAAATAAACTCATTTATAGTGGTTTGTTTTTAGTTCATAGGATGTAGAGCATAGAGGGAAAAACATTTTTAAGCATCAGTATGCACAGACTACTTTAAACCCGATATATACTTCAGTGGTTGGTGTCAAACTGTGTAATTCTCTACTGAATGATTTAAAGGATTGTTTAATTGTTTCAGTTCAAGAAAATGTATAAAGAAAGAATAATTTAACTACATGAAATTGGTTGTTAAGTAACTAATGGACAGACCGATGGTTTTGTGATAGCGTTGATCTCTTATCTTGAACATGAACTGCTCCAGAGCAGGTTAACCATTCGACATAAGTTACCATGGCGATGTACCCCTGTCAGATGTGAACCGCGTTGTGACTGAAAACTCAGGGTTAAACCTAAAGTAATATTGCTATTGTCAAATCCTGCCCCGTAGTACAAATCCCTGGATGCTTTTGAACTCAACACCTTTGCAGGCACTGGTCCCACCCAAGACAGCAGCTGTGGCACCCAGAGTCAACAGGTTTGACAAACTGTTAGCTCAGATTTGCCTTGAAACCCAATAAAAGTCAAATGACAACATATGTAGGGTAGCTGCTGTTAAGTGTGATGTTTGTCATGTGGGTAACTTTACTGTGTGGTTGCAGTCTTCATCCTGTTTTTGTGAACACTTTTTAATTAACTGTTATGAATTCAGAAAAGCTGTCAGGCTCCATCTCTTAAGGCCATCTATTTCAAAATCTTGACTTGAGACCAATGTGCTTCAATACCGCCTTCAGATATGACCTGTTGAATATGTAAAGACAAGATTTTTTTCTGCCAGAGAAACTGATCATTAAAGTCATGACCGGAAACCATGTAACACTTAAGCTATGCGTCAGAGAAAAAGAGACATACGTCTTCTACTAACAGCTAAGATAAAGTCTGCTTTCACTCTAAATTAATTTGGCAAATATTAGATTTTTGTACATATAATCATTGTTAACAGTGATTTTACATTTAGATAACAGTATAGAAAAAATATATTTTTCAAGGTAGGTAAGTAGAAGGACCTCAATGCCATTTCAAATATAAAGTCAAACTTGTTTGAGAAGTGTGATATGAGGGAATAGTATTCCTTTGAAGAGGCCCCGTTGAAATCAATTCGATTTTACTGTTCAAATTTCAATGGCAGATCTTCAAAAGGGCCAGCATTAGTTGGGCCTTGAAATCAATACAGAAACATTATCAAGACATAGGGGAAAAAAAGAGTCAGCAACAATGAGCAGTTGACACAAAGGAGGTAGAGGGCAATCAATGCACAGCCAGACAAAAGGCACGAATCAAAGTAACTCTGGCTAAAAAGATGTACTTTTAGAGCCAAGCTAAACCTAAAAGCCTTTATTTTACAAAGAAAGCTATTCTAAGTGCACATACACCTTTTCAGCAGTGCTTTGAACCACACTCAGACAGTTAAGCCTTGTTCTGTAAAATCTGTCCTTCCACAGCACTTTGCTGAGTTAGTATAATGTGTAAATAAGTGTTTGAAAAATCTCAAACATCTGGTAAATGATAAACCTTGCTGATCAACGGAAGGGAAATGAAATCCATCATCTGTTATACTAAATGCAAATTCCAGCTACAGTATGCTATTTTTACTTGACTTGGATTGCGAGCATTACTATTAAGTACTAGTATTAAAACTAAATATTACTTCAGGTCTACCTTTTGACATACCAACATAGTGACTGAAATACAGCATCCAACATGTAATTCAATACATGAATAATGACAATGCTCTTTGGGTAAAAAATTGCCGTGCACAATTGTAAAACTATCCAGTCATTATGATGCCTTGAAGTTCAGAAACAGCCTAATCCAGTTTTGACTGACTTTTCTTTTTATCTACCTACAGTCATCTATTCCCATCCGTCCCATGGCTCATCCAACACCCAATGTTCCTGCCTCATCTCTGACTCAGTGAACTCTCCACTGCGCCTGATGAGTCACGAGTTTACTCTTCTTACACCTCTCCATCGTTCTTGCGCTACACACACACTCCCTACCTCCCTCAGTTTCTCCATCATTATTACAGGAAAAACTGCACAGCCACGCAGGGGAGGAACAGAATTCAGTACAAAAGGCCTTTCTCAGCCAGCAGAGTATTTCTAGAGCGTTCTCTGCATAGTCAGGCATTCAGCAGCCTCCCCTGCAGCGTCTCCTAGCATTCTCGCAGTTTTGTCAACTCTGTGATATTAAGGTCTACTGATCACATTCACAACACCTTAGAGATGTGAGACTGAAGCCAGTTAACCATTTAAAATGACTAGGTACCAAACAGACCCCATTCAGACTAACACAAAGGCGTGAGTTAGACCTTGATCTGACATATATTAGCACTGCATCAAAAAACACCAGGGGCTGTGTTGGAGTGAGTGTGTTGCTATAGGTACCAGTAAGAAGATGTAATGCTAACCAGTCCAGGAAGTTCAGTTTATTATCAAACTAAAAGTCTGATGCCTTTAAGGCCAACGTCGTTTCCAGCGTCTCTAAACAGTGAATGGCATGATGATATAAGGGACAAACTAAAAGGAATCACTTCTAATTCACTGCACTGCAGTAAAAGCTTAGCCCGGATCAACTTTTGTATCAGACTGACCTGCATTTGTTTGCCAGAGCCCAGATCAGTATTCTTATTTACATGAATGAGGAGCTTGAGCTTTTTTCTAAAAGGTTCAATTGACCTTTGCGACCCTGATCCCGACGAATGCAGGTTGGATGCCGCCCTGCCTTTCGTGGACATGTGTAAGGGATTAAGGATAAGAGGGGATGAGAGTTAAAGGTTACTGAAATGAACATTAACTCTCCCAAAAACAAGAAAAAAAGAACCAAATATTAAGAGTAAGACCGAGCAGACAGCATGGCTACAGAGGTAAAACTCTAACTAACCTTTTTAGTAATTTACAGTTACAGGTATTAAACACATGTGCAGACTCTGAACTGAACAATGACAATGAGGTGTTAATTTGTGACACCAGGCTCATATGAAGTTCAATGCAAGAGGCTTGTATGACGCAGAAGACCTGCATCACACATGCCTCTCCTATATAAAATATGTATTATAGAAAGCCTTGTGTTCTGTTGACTGACTCAGTGAAAGACCAACTCAGATGGAATAAAAAAATTACACAGGAATTGAAAGTTGAACGATATAAAAAATTAACTTAAAGAAAATGTTTAATAACCTTAGAGCAATATCCATGCTGGAAAATCCCCACCAATTAGTATCTATATTAATGATTATTGGGAATCAAACTTAGACAACTTTTTGTCTGTCACAAAGTAACAGAAATGTTCCTCTGACAAGGCTTAAAAAATGCACATTTAAAAACACTTAAAAATGTGTTTAACTTACCTTTACTCACTCAGATGGCTTTAGCAGAATCCAGCCTCTGCCTGGACCTCTGGGTACTATGTAAAGCCTCTTGTTTGTTTACTTAATAGAATCCCATAAAAGGCAATTTACTGGTTTGGTTATTCTGATTATTCAAAAGAAACACTGCAAGCAGTGAAACAGGCGATAAAAGTGAAGGGCTGTGGACAGAAAGTCCCAACACAGACCAACAAAAGGCCGGCTGTTGTCACTTTGGGCCTGTATCATCAGGCATTCCTGTGAACCCACTCTGATGCTTTTGATGTAATGTCACATGGCTCTCCTTCAAAAAAACTTGGAAAAGACTTGTTTTGAGAAAAAGCCTGTACTCTTGCTAATTGTGTCCCACAAAACCTCTGGTGTTACACCATAATATCATAAAATCACTACTCTTTTTTTAAAAAATTGTTTTAATCAATCTGTATGCTCAGTAAAAAGGCCATGCCATTTATTATTATTTATTTATTTGATCAGATTTGAAAGCATTTTAGCGTGTTAGTTTAGCCTAAAAGTGTCTTGGTCAGAGATGGAAAGAGTGAGAAAATTTTACTCAAGTAAAAGTAAAAAGTAGGGTAAATTACAATGTACTGTAAGAAAATGTTGCTGTGTTACATTTAAAAAAAAAGAAAAAAGGCTGGCAATGTATATGAATATGTTATGTGATAGACCTATTAAATTAAAGCGTCAATAACATAACATGTCAATGTATACACACCACACAGCCCCTATGTCCAAACAATATACCCATAGCTGGCACTTTGCAGCCTGTGCAAACAACTGATGATCCATTGCACAACCATCTTCCTCAGTGTAGTCTCAGTAGAATTAACCAGAATAGAGGACAAAACTCAAACAATTAAACAAAATGACTGACTATCAATAAAAAGAGCTATGGACACCATGTCGGGTGCGACAAGCATTATTAGGCTACAGAAATTAAACACCCTGGCACTCCTTATAGAGTCAACATAAGAATAAAATGTCACCAAGGCAGACAAAACAGACATATACTAAACATTAAAATGTGCAGCCACAAATACACATATTAAAGCAAATAGAGATCTGAACAGTTTTTTGCAACGTGTAGTACAAACACACACACACACACACACTACAAACACTACGTTGCCTAACAAGGTTGACATTCTCTTCTAGAAAATGAGTTACAACCATCACTGTTAAGTCTGTTGTTGTATTCACCTGTCTGTGAGCATTGTGCAGAGCAAAGTCCTACTCCATCTGCTCTAGGTTTACAAAACACAACAGTCCACTCAGACTCACTGTCCCACTATAACCAGTCCACATAGCCTCTCTGTCCCACTTGCACTGAAGGTATACAAGTTACACTAAGGTGCAGTTCCCCGACACCCAGTTAAGTAAATGCAGTAAAGTCACCGCTGCAGGATCCACTATGAGCATTTTAAAATTAATCCAGACCCAGCGCACACCTGTTGGTTACGCAATATAACAGGTATATTTGATGTGAAGAACATAAAAAAAGACACTGTTATAGTAATGACAGTAAATGTTATTCATTAATTCGACCCCTGGTTTTGG